TCAAGGACTGTTTGTGTATAAATGAAGGGTGACTTGGTGACGGGATACCAGTCTCTGTGGAGTTATTTTAATTACTGTGCTGTACTCATGGATAGATATTGCCTAGCCAGGGTACATTCTGTACCGTTGTCACCCTCAGTGCTTTCTTGGTGTTCAATATGGAGAACTATTGTTTCATCAGCCGAGTGGATGGGGTTGGTGCTATCTGGCGATTATCCGGCGCTTTCCTTGGCCATGTTTGAGCTGATGCCATGACATTTCATGAGGTCTGGTGTCAACATTGAGTACTCCGAGGGAAAAGTCCCTCCAGATCGTACACCACTGTGATGCCAACTACATCTAATCTGTCCCACTGTTGCTTGGCAGTGAGACAGGCTTTTCCAATTTTGGCACAAATTCTCAGATATTGGTAAGGAGAACTTTGCAGGATTAACAAGGCTGAGTTTGCTGTTGTCATTTTCAGTGCCTAGATTGATGCCAGGTGATTTTATTCCTTTTTGTTTTGAGCAGTTAGATACAACTGGGTACCTTGCTTGGCCATAACAGAGGACAGTTAAGGTTGTGTTTGGAATCACATGTAGACCAAACCAAGTATAGACAGGAGATTTCCTTCCCTAAAGGACATTAGTGAATCAGATGGCTTTCATTGGAATTGAACTTTTAATTCCAGATTTCACGAAGTGGTGCAAAATGAGCCTGGGTTCCCAGAATATTTCCTGGGCCTCTAAATTACTAGTCTAGTAACAACATCATCCACACATCTCATGTATGGGCCAAAACAGAAATACAATGAAACTGATGGACCGCCTTAGCATCAACAAGGCCTCCAAAAATGACAATAGCAAATATTTCCTGCGCTGTTCTCTTTACCAACATCTGGGGGCTAGAGCCAAAACTAGGAGAGCTGTCTCACAGACTAGTCGAGCAATAGCCTAAATAGTACTTTACTGACAAGGTGCCAGATGACACCATCTTCATCCCTGGATATGTCCTGTCCCACTAGCAAAGGTGATGGCACCATCATATACAGTTGTGAGGGATTTGCCTTGGGAATCCCAAACATGGATTTGGAAGCCCATGAAGTCTCATGGCATCAGCTCAACCACGTGTAGGGAAACCTCTTGCTCAAGATGACATTCCATAGCACCCCTCCCTCCCACCTCACCATCAGCTGATGATTCAGTACTCCTCACGGTTGAACACCACTTCGAAGAAACATTGAGGGTGGCAAGGGCACAGAATGTACTCTGAGCAAGAGACTTCAGTGTCCACTAGCAAGAATGTATCAGCAGCATCAGTAATGATCGAGCTGGTCAAATCCTAAATGACACCTGCCAGACTGGAACTGTGGCAGGTGGTGAAAGAATAACAAGAGGAAAAAAACATATTTGACCTCTTCCTCATCAATATGCCTGTTGAGGATGCATAGATCAATGACAGTATCTCTAGAAGTGAACACTGTACAATCTTTGTGATGAAGTTGATAAAGTCTTGTGTTCACATTGAGTACACCTGTTGTGCAGCACTATCACCAAACTAAATGGGACAGACTTTGAACAGATCTCGCAAATCAAGATTGGGTATTCAGGAGGCAGGGTGGGCCCTCAGCAGTATCAGAATTGTACCCCTACACAACCTGCAACCTCATAATCCATATATTCCACCTCTTTCCTCACCACGACTCTATGATTACCATCTAGCCAAAGTATCAGGCTGGTTCAATAAAGAGTGCTGGAGGGCAAGCCAAGAACAGCACCAGGCATACCTAAAAATAAGGGCAGCATGATGGTTCATTGGTTAGCACTGCTGCCTCACAGCAGCAGGGACCTGGAATCGATTCCACCCTCAGGCAACTGTCTGTGTGGAGTTTGCATGTTCTCCACCTGTCTGTGTGGGTTTCGACCGGGTGCTCTGGTTTTGTCCCATGGTCCAAAGATGTGCAAGTTAGGTGGATTGGACATGATAAATTGCCCATAGTGTTCAGTGATGTGTAGGTTAGGTATGTTAGCACAGTTACAGGAAAAAGGGTGAGGGGATGGATCTGGGTTCAGAGGATTGGTGTAGACTTATTGGGCTGAATGGCCCATTTCTGCACTGTAGGGATTGTATGGAATTCTATGGAGGCATCAACCTGGTGAATCTACAAAACAGGACTATCTGCATGCCAAAAAGCATAAGTAGCAAAAAGCAAATTTTAGGGATTCCACTACCAATAAATTAGATCTAAGATCTGCAGTCCTGCCATATTTAGTCTTGAATGTTGATGGACAATTCATCAACTTACTTGACCAGGTAGCACCACAAATACCCCCATCCTTAATATTGGATGCTTCCCAGCACATCAGTACAAAACATAAGGCTAAATCATTTGCAACAGTCTTCAACTCGAAATACCAAGTGGATAATCTATACTGGCCTCTTCCATAATTCACCAGCAATTTAGCCAATTTAATTCACCCACATGATATGAAGAAATGGTTGGAGGCTGTGGATACTGTCAAGGTTATGAGCCCTAACAACATTTGTGCAAAAATAGTGAAAACATGTGCTCCATAATTTGCAGGACCCTTAGCCATGCTGTTCCAGTGCAGTTTACCACACTGGCATCTACCTGACAATGTGAAAATTGCCCAGGTTGTACACAAAATGTAGAACAAATCAAAACTGGTGAATTACTGTCCCATTAATCTACTCTGGATCATGATTGATGTGATAGAAGGTGTCATCAATGCTACCAAGTACACTTGCTTTACAATAAGCTGATTACTGACACTCAGTTTGGGTTCTGTCAGGACCATCTAACTCTTGACCTCATTTCAGCCTTGGTTCAACCATGGTCAAAAGAGCTAAATTCCAGAGATGAGGTGTGTGACTGTCTTTGATGTCAAAACCACTTCTGAGTGGGTGTGGCATCAAGGAGCCTGAGCAAAGCTGGAATCAGTGAGAATCAAGAGAAAGACTCTTGACAGGTTGGAGTCATACTTGCACAAAGAAAGATGGCTGTTGTTTTTGGAAACGGTCATCTAAGCTGCAGGAGTTTCACAGGATAAAATCCTAGGCCCTACTGTCTTGGACTGCTTTGCCAATGAAGCTGCATCCATTAAAAGGTCAGATGTGGGGATGTTCGCAAATGATTGCGCAATTTTCATCACCATTTGTGACTCCTGTGATACTGAAGCGGTGTATGTCCAAATGCAGCAGGACTTGGACAATATCCAGGTTTGGGCTGAAAAGTGCCAAGTAACATGCATACCATACAAATGCCAGATAGTGATTATATCTACCAAGAGAGAATGAACCATCACCCCTTCACATTCAATGGAGTTAACATCACTGAAGCATGTACTGTTATCATTTTGGCATTACCATTGACCAGAAACTGAACTGGACTAGCGAAACAGGTATTGTGGCTACAGGAGCAAGTCAAAGGTTAGGAATCCTGAAAATAGTCATTCATCTCCTTATGCCCAACGCCTGTTCACCGTCTACAAGACACAGTCAGGAGTTTGATGGAACACTCCCCACTTGCCTAGATGAGTGGAGCTCCAACAACACTCAAGAAGCTCAATACCTTCCAGAGAAACCAGCCTGCTTGATTGGAACCACATCCACAAATATCTATTCTCCCTACTACTGTCACTTAGTATTATTTGCATGATGCACTGCAAGAATTCACCGAGGCTCCTTGGACAGTGCCATCCAAACCTATGATCACTGCCATCTAGAAGGACAAGAATAGCAGGTACTTGAGAACATCACTACCTGCCAAGTCTCACCATCCTGACTTGGAAATATATCCTTGTTCCTTCAGTGTTGCTGGCTCAAAGTCCTGTAACTCCCTCCCTAAAAGCATTGTGGGGGTACCTACACTTTGTTGATTGCAATGGTTCAAGAAGGCAGCTTACTACAAGCTTCTCAAAGGCAACTAAGGATGGGCAACCCTAATTGATCACACCAACTTCACAAGAATTATATTTTTTTAAAAAACTCTCAATATTTGAATCTGTGATTCTTGGACAATAAATGTGAAAAGAAAATCATCATTGGTCAGTTAGCTGCTGAGAAAAATTGATGCTCAAAGTGTAAGAATTTTTGCGGAGGTATAACACTTTAGTGGAAAAGAAGAGTTGAACTCTCTGTAGCAACTGGCTTGAGAACTAAGAAAAATCTTGGTCAGATTTAACCACAAATACAGTAAAGTATGTGTGACATCATTTTACATTGCCAGAAGTTATATTTTAATACAATTGCTTGAGAGGAATATGTTTCAGCAAGGGAATGCCAGAAAAAAAACCTGACAGAAAGCTAAGTGGAGTAAAAAGGCAAATATCACAGAGATGCATTCATTAATATTGAAAATGGCATTGACATTCGGTAGAAATAATCTTCAGTAGATTGATGACATTGCACAACACTCGTGGTTTGTGTGCTTTCAGAACAGGCTGAGCCACAGCATTTCTCCCTAATAGTAAGAAGTTCAAGATTGACTTGGAGATTTCAGCATTTCCAGCAATCCAACCTGATACATCAGTGTAATACTAAAGAAGTTTTAAGTACCATCTTTTAGAGTAAACCCTTGCTTTTTCTCAGTTGCAGACATTATCACTTTCGAAGAAGTGGGTTGCAGCTCCTTGGGTGCTTAGTATGCTCAACCAATACCTTTCCGGACCTTGCTGAGTACAAACTGGTCATCCCAGTATACTTATTATGGCACTTCATAAGTACCTAGTTAGTTTTGACTTGCATTGGAACATTGGGATTGCAAACACCACAATTTAAATGCAGGCACTCTGTTTCCTTATAATATAACAGTTAATTTACAGTTCATCAGTAGAATTGCAAAAATATACAGTTTCTTTTAACTCTTTCACTTGAATATTCATAAGTACAGTGAAATCTAATGATAACTATGACTGCAAATCACTGATCTATAAAACATGCATCTAAACTTGATTAAAACAAACAAAACAAATTATGCGTACAATTCATTATCTCCACAGGTTACAAATGAACAAATAGCCCCCGACTGCAGACTTGGAAAAAAAGAAGGAAAGCCATTTTCTGGTGTAACTGCATGTATGGACTTCTGTGCCCATGCTCACAAAGATCAGCATAATATGTACAATGGCTGTACTGTGGTACGTAGACTAATACTTTGTATGAAATCAATATTTAATCAGTTTTGTGCCTCAAACAAAACCAGGAATCCCATATTTTCAAATAATGCTGCATTCAAAATTATATTTCATTTATTTTCACACTATTGTTAGAGCAAATAACTGCCATCAGGGGAACTTCATAATGCAATGAGTTCGACACAGACCTTTCATCTCTTGGATCCAAGTTCAAATCGAGCTGGGAACTATGGAACAAGAGTCACTCCAATCTGCTGGCTGTAAGAGTTGCAATGTTAAATGAGTTTTGACAGTCTCCATTCTTAGGAGCTTCAGCCTTCAGCACAGAATTGTTCTTAATTTAACAGCAATTGGCAATCTCACAAAGAGATCAAAGAATGATTAACATGGGTGATGGGTGATGGTATTACACTGGTGCTGTAGGGACGCTTTTTCACCCCTGGAGCTACATGAGAATGAAGCGGTGGGATCTTTACTTCTGGATCTATCAGTCACGATCACTTGATCCTGATCATGAAAAGAAAAAAGTTCCAGCCCTGCTAGCGTGAATATCAATCACTGAGAAGTGCATAAAAGCATGAACTTAATTTAAGTTTCTGATGTTATCCTGGACAAGGAAGTTGTCTGTTTTTATGCCCAGTTTTCTGGAAGTTGGTGCATTGGCCGGGACATATTTTACCAAAGGCCAACAGCTGTGTCACCCCTCACAAAAATTGTCATTGATCAAGACTGAGTTTTAGCAGACCATTTCCTGAGAATATTACAAGTCTGACATCATGTGGTCTCCACACACAGGCACTAGTTAACAATGAACAATCAAATTTTCCACTACTTTGCTCAAGAATCTTAACATTAATTAAATAAACCTCAAAATATTACTTCAGCAGAAACCAAGACTTTGTTAGTATTTTTGGTTCTGCCATACCTCTAAGATTTGAGGAGGTTCTGAAAGCTCAACTTTAGAAGCACTGACCATTTTCACTGCTTAACATGCATCACAAAATGAACATTTCACACACAGTTATGATTTTCAGCACAAGTGATAATTGAATGAAAATAAATTACGCCAGAAACTGCTCTTTTGGAGCTTATACATTTATAAACAGTGTTACTGCTATCTGTCACATTTGGAAAGGTGACAGTTCCCTTCAGAAGAACAGAGCTAACTAAAGGTGATATTTGAAAATACAGGTGCAAGCATGTAAATAAGTGCCGAGCCAAGTTTTGATTTATCACTTTCCTCACTGGATGTGTTGAAATGATACTATACAGTATAGTGCACGACTTCATGATGATTCATGATGTAACACTGCCATATGCTGCCACTGCTTGACACTGCACAGACTTTCACTCCTGAAGGGATTAAAGCTTTCTAAGAGAGAAGGGAAGAATATTAGAATTTTTAAAAATATTAAAGCCATAAAATGTGATGACATTCACTCGTTTGGCATTTCTGGAGAGATAAACAGAAGTTAGAAGTTTCAGCTTGATGACTTGTCAATCACAATAACTCTGAAGAGGTGTTCAGGGTCAAGGCTGATGAGAAATGTTATAATCTGGAAATACAAATGGATCACATTTTTAAGACAAAATTCTGTGTTTTCTGGCTTGAGAGGTTGGATGGCTGACTGCTGTGCAGGAAGGTGCCTCAGCCCAGGAATGGAGAGGAGCAAGACAGAGAAGGAGAGAGTCTGAAGGCACAACTGATAAAAGGCAAGGGAATGAAGATTGTAAAGGCCAGTGCTAGGGAAGATTTCAGGCTTTAATCAGATCATAGGAATGGAGGTATGAGGCTCTTGGAGTGAAAGAGCAAGGGACCAAAGGCTAGGAACATCAAATCAATGGGAAGTTATGTGTGTTGGGCAGGGTTGAGATCCGATGAAGAGTACAGTGGGCGGGTTATGAGATTGAGAAATCCTTCAACCACAGGGTGAGAAAACAGTTTACCTCAGTTGTACAATGCCAGTGAAGCACTTTTGGTCCTCCTCACCCACAAGCAGTTTTGGAAAGCACTTTTGGATCTGACTATTATTCTTTCCGTTCAGCCTCCAAATTTTTCAAACTCTGCAACTCGGATAGCCTCTGGAATGTAGGTTTGTTTTCACTCCACACATCCATGATCATGTGGGAGGCAGGTTGAAGTTGTCTTTCCAGCTATTTATGTATTTTAACACATCCTTGCTGGTGCTTGAGTGTTCTCAAGATGTGTTTCCAAACATTGTATTTCAAATTCAGATGTTCTACTACACCACACTGTAAAAATCAATATTTAAGTAACTTAGTGCTAGAACCAAGGTGACAGGTACTACTGCATTCAACTTTGCACGTTGATTTAATGTTGAAATAAAATCAGGCACATTATTTTAAAAATGAGCCTCTCTAAAATGAGGAAATATTGCAACTGTGCCTGTTAAGAATTCCTTGAAAATCAAGTTCCATTTCTGACAGATTACAGGTATTCAGCAGTTTACATTTCAAACTGTACATTTGTGTTAGTTTACCTGAATTATAAAAGCTAGATAACAAACAAAAGAATGTTTCTGATTTTTATAGGAATGCTTAGCAATATGTAAGATACTTACCTGTTTGGTATAATTATTCATAGGTTTGTACATTAACGAAAGAAGACAATCGTAAGATAGGAATGACCCCAGAAGACGAACAATTGCACGTGCTTCCACTGTACAAGGTGTCAACAACTGATGAATATGGTAGTGAAGAGAATCAGAATGAGAAGATTAAAGCTGGAGCAATAGAAGTGCTTACGGCATTCCCCAGGGAAGTCAGAATGCTGCCTGAGCCAGTTAAATCAGCACGTCAAAAGAAACTAGAAGCAAAAAGAGCAGCTGAAAAACAGAGAAACCAAGCAAAGAAACTTCTGGCTGGAAAACTAAAGCAGGAAGATTTGCAGTGCAGTGCTGCACAAAACAAAGGTATTCTGTTTATTATAAATTATGTGTTACTTTTTCACAGCACTGCTGTGAAGATAATGTATAAGAATTACTTTCTTGGAATACTGTGTACAGTTATAATTGCCATGCTATAGAAAGGATGTTATTAAATTGGAGAGAGATCAGAAAAGATTTACCAGGATGTTGCTGGGACTAGAGGGTTTGAATTCTAAGGAGAGGCTGGATAGGCTGGGACTTTTTTCACTGGAGCATAGGAGGTTGAGGGGTGACCTTATAGAAGCTTATAAAATCGTGAGAGGCATAGATAAGGTGAATAGCAAAGGTCTTTTCCTGAGGGTGGGTGAGTTCAAAACTAGGGGGCATATTTTTAAGGTGAGAGGAGAAAGATTTAAAAGATACCTGAGGAACAACTTTTTTTCAGAGTGTCGTTCATATGTGGAATGAACTGCCAGAGGAAGTGTCAGATGCACGTACAGTTACAACCTATAAAAGACATTTGGACAGGTATATGGATGGGCAAGATATAGAAGGATATGTGCCAAATGCAGCAAATGGGACTAGTTCAGGTCAGGAAACCAGGTCACCATGGACGAGTTGGGTTGAAGGGTCTGTGTCCATGCTATATAATTCTATGACTCCATGCCTGTTCAAATTTGTCTATTTTCTAAGAATGTTTTGAGTACGTTACGGTCCAGACAGGAAGCAGGAACTTGTGTTTTCAAGGAGACAAATTTACTCACTAAATCACTCACTAAATAAATAAAGCCGTAAGATTCCAAGATATTAAACAAACAGAATAAATTTGAATCAGAGATAGTAGGAACTGCAGATGCTGGAGAATCCGAGACAACAAGGTGCAGGGCTGGATGAACACAGCAGGCCAAGCAGCATCATAGGAGCAGAGAGGCTGACGTTTCGGGCCTAGACCTTTGACTATACCAAGAGAGTCAATACCATCTGTGTTATATTCTAACGACCAAAACATAACAGGCAAACCATGATCTAACACAAACCACAAACTGCACGCCGAATGGCAAACTCAACCAAGACAAGTTCCGTAAATTTCCCAGTAGCCCACCCAGGTGCCAGTGATCTCTGTGAGTCTCCAAAGCCCTTCCAATTTGATCTTCCTCATGAGGGATTTCAGTTCCTCTTCTTCAAGATTTAGCCTTGGTTTTCCTTTCAACAGGATCCACAACTCATCCTGGAGGCCCTTTTGCTTCTTCAGCCTGCAATGAGTTTTCATGGCACAGGACTCCAGCTCAAATTGCCCCAATTATGGCTTACGTGCCATCAAAACTAAATCCAACACAAGTGAGGCCCTCAGCCTGAAATCTCCAGAAAGTAATGCCTCATGTCATCTTTGAGTGTGAGCAGCCTGTGCTTGTTCACCGTCTTGTTGATCTCTATGCTTGCAACAAAGCTATTGGCAGAGCAGGTGTTGAAGCTCTCAGCCTTCAGAATGAAAATAAACAAAAATACAGATTCTTTCACAGCTGTCTTATTCGGAATGCTGTTGATTGTTTCACAACATTATGGCTTCTCTCAGCTGGCAGTTCAGCAATTTGTTAAAGCTGTCAAAATGTGGGCAGAAGGAGCATGTTGTTGAATGTGAATTTGCCTAAATCTTTCCCAGTGAAATGGGGGCTCTTCATAAAAGTACTTTCTTTCTCAGCTTTACACCGACAGAACATCAAGACCTTAGTACCATAAGTAGTAGGCTATTCGTTTCCTTGAGACTGCTGTGCCATTCAATAGGATTGTGGCTGATCTGGAATACCTCACAAGAATCTGTTTATCTCAGCCTTAAATATACAATAAGACTCTGCACCCACAGGTCTCTGTGGCAAGGAGTTGCAAAGACTCTTAACCGTCTGAGAGAGAAAATTCCTCCTCATTACAATCATATATTGGTACCCCTGTATTCTGCAACTATGCCTTCTGGTCCTAGATTCTCTGATGAGGGGAAACATACCCTCAACATTTATCCTATCAAGCCCCTTAAGAATTATCTATGTTTCAATGAGATCAACTCTCATTCTTCTAAACTCCAATGAGTAGTAGAGTTTCCGAGTCAACACTAAGTGGCAGTGATATGTACTCTGCTGAATACTGTCTTCACTTGTACTTGGTCCTGCATTTGCACATTAACTTTTATTGATTCATATACAAGAGAATCTAGATCCCTCCATACTGCAGTTTTCTGCAGTCTGTCTCTGTTTAAATTATATTTTAATTTTCCATACTTTATGTCTCGCATTTTCCCAAATTATGTTTCATCTGCCAAATTTTGGACTATTCACTTAACTTATCTCTACCCTTAGAAGAATCTTTGTACCTGCATAACTTGCTTGCCAAATTACTTGATAGCATTGACAAGTTTAACGACAATACAGTTGATCCTTTCATCCATTGATGTAGATCATCAATAGTTCAGACCCCACCTGATCCCTTTGGTCCTTACGTTACAAATCTGAAAATGATCTGTTTATCCTCGTCCTGTTTCCTGTTAGTAAATTATCTACTCATGTCAATATATTATTACCAGAATCATAAGTTATGACCTTGTATTTTATGTTATCTTTTATGTTACACTTTATCTAATGCTTCTTTGAAATCCAAATATGCAGCATCTACCGGTTTCCCCTTATTCACCATCTTTTTTACATCCTCAAATAACTAAATTTGTCAAACATTATTACCCTTTCATGATAACAGACCTGTAGTTCGCTCTTTTGTCTCCCTCTTCTTGAACAGAGGTATTACATTTTCAGTTTTCCAATCTGCTGGGACATTTTTGAAATTTATGGATTTTGGAAGACTACAATTCATGCATCTGCTACCTCTGCGACTACTTCTTTTAAGGCTTCAAGATACAGGCTGTCAGATCCAAGGGACTTCAATTCCTATTAGTTCCTTAGTTTTCCTATAAACATTTTCTTTAGTGATCTGATTATTTTAAGTTCCTCCCTCCTTTTACCTCTTGATTTGCTTCAATATTTGTTCAAAGCCTCTACCATTTTCTTGTTTTCTACTATTGATTCCTCAGTCTCACCCTCTAAGAAGGCATCATTTCCTTGAGCTACACAGTCTTTTTTTATCACCGTTTATTTTTAAGTAACCTGCTTAGACACAGTTCTAGGCCAGGTGGAACTTGAACCCAGATCATCTGCTTAGAGATATGAAACACTACCATTCCGTTTTCGAGACCCTCTCAGGCCTTTTTTATGTACTTCCAGAAGTGTTTACTGCCTGTTGTTATATTCCCATATGGGTGGAGACAAGAAATGAAAAGGAGATGAAGATACTGATCGGAGTAATTTGTAGGCTCCCTAACAATAGCTGTGTAATAGGACAGAGAATAAATAGAAGGTAGTGAGGGCATGTGTAAAAAGCAGTACCATAATCATCATGGGTGACTTTAATCTTCATGTAGGTTGGGACAATCAGATTGGCAAAGGTAACCACGAGGAAGAATGCATAAAGTGCATTCAGGACAGTTTCATAGAAAAGTGTTGTAGATCAAATCACGGGTCAGGCTATTTTTGTTCCGGTGATTTTTAATGAGGCAGGTTTAGTGACGAATCTCCAAGTAAAAGATTCCTGAGGAAATAGTGATAATAACATGGTAGAATTCAGCATTCAGTTTGGAGGGAAAAACTTGGGTTGCACACAATTATGCTAAGCTGAAACGAGAGTAATTACAAAAGAATGAGGGAAGAGCTAGCTGGAATGGACTGAGAAGGGAGTTCAGCAGCAAAGACGGTTAAGAAATAAATGGTAGATATTTAATATTTCATGTCGTATGCCAAAGATGTATTCCAGTGATAAAGAAGGATTTGAGGAAGGGGATAAACCAACCATAGTAAACTAGGGAAGTTACAGATACCATCAAATTAGTCCATGTATGCCTCACCATGACCCTATCTAATTTCAGTAAGAGATTCCTGCTCCTGTACCCAAATCCTCTTGTTTTTAAGGCTAAAATAGCATCTGCTTTTTTCATTGCCTGCTGCACCTGCATGCTTTCAATGACTGGTGTGCAAGATCTTGTTGGACCTCTCCCTTTCCCAATCTATTGCCATTCAGACAATAATTGATTTCCTGTTTTTGCTGCCAAAGTGGTAACCTCACATTTATCCATATCATTCTTCTTCTGCCATGCATTTACCCATTTACATGTCCAAATCACACTGAAGCATCTCTGCAACCTCCTCACAGCTTACCCTCCCACCCAGCTTTGTGTCATTTTAGAGATATGACATTTAGTTCTCTCTTCTAAATTATTAATGTGTACTGTGAATAGCTGAGGTCCAAGTTGCTGTCCCCCACTAGTCAATGTGCCACTCAGAAAAAGGTGCTTTTATTATTACCCCGATATTATTATTTTAACGCTGAAATCGAGGAATAGTGGAAGCCCAAGAAGCAGATTTAGAAGCCATGTACGCAGATTACTAAACTGCAATCATTACAAAACTCATCACTAAGGCTAACAAAACGTAAGCCCTTTAATTCATCAAGTTGACTATGAAGAGCAGGATATTTTCTACTGTAATATACAGCCCTGGTTAGACCTTGACTGGAATACGAAATACGAAATACAGTTTTAAGTACAGCACTTAAGACAGTGTACAGTTCAGATTGATCGGAATGTTACCAGGGCTGCCATGGTTACTTTATGATGTGAGGTTACATAAACAAGGGGTTTTTTTTATTCTCTAGAATAGAGACAGTAAGGAGTGATTTGGTTGAGGCTTTTAGCATTTGCTTGCTAATCAAAAGTAAATTTTAAACAAATCTAAAAGTTTGAAATAATCCATACACAAGGTAGTGCACTCAAACATATGAGAAATATCCAGATTATGAGCAGCATGAGATGGAGTACAGGAGGGATGAGTGCAATGGGTCAAATGTTCTTTCCTTGTTCTTAAACTTTGTTTATGCTCTTATTTTGTACTTTCTTTTCAATTTTAAATTAAATTTTGGACAATAAATGAAGGTAGTTATGTCTAATGTGTCATCTTGGTTTTTCTTATGTTCCACAGATGTCACATTGGCAACTGCAACACCCCAACATCACATTACAACTTCAATCAAAATAGAACCACAAGATCACTATAATTCCTACAAACACAGTGGAAATTCAGTTGTTGAGAGTTACACAGTGCTTGGTAGCTGTAGACCCTCCAACTCTTACAGTCTGGGAAATGCCTATCCTTATCATTCTTACTATGCAAGGCCAACCCCGCCTTCCATTAACAATTTTCATCCTAGATATTCATTCTCTTATGGATATTATGGTTATGCAAGCGACCAATTATTTCCTACATCATTCCTTAACTATGGCAGAAACGACACAAGACCAGGGAGTTTCTCAGGAAACAGCTTTGAGAAGAAGCCTGATGTACAGGAGCTGTGTGCTAATTTCAATCTTGCCCTCAGAAGTAACAGGATTGACTGCTCTGACCAGGCTGCAGAGATGACACCAAAGCAGAATCATCAACCCATGTTCCAAGGAGGATCAGGATTAGTTTCTCAAACATCATTATCTACAACATCCAATCAATCACATCAAACACATCAAATACCTGAGGAAGTCAAAAGAGTTCCACAAAATACAAACAGTGTCAATCGATTTATCAAGCAAGAGCCTGATGACTCTGTTTCCTATTCACAGTCCTGTCGTGGGATATCTATGAATGTCCATGCAGTGAACAGTACCTTTTCTGCTCTACAAATGCCGCCAAACATAGCCCATCAAGGAAAATCATGGGATATGTTTAAACCAAATGGTAGTTTAATATCAGCTGGAACATCTGGTCATGAAAAACCATGGGGCTTATTCAATCCTACTGATCCCGCCAACTTAATTAACACAAATGTTCATGAAAAATGGAATTCAACAACATCTAACAGGAATGCAACAGGATTACCTGCAACAAATATGCAAGAAAAGCCATGGAATTTACTTACAGATAGAAGTGCACCACCAGTGCAAAGTGCAAATCTCCAGGAAACAATGTGGGATTCATTTAAAACAGGTGAAACCAGATCACCACCCTCAATCTCATCTAATGTGAACCTTAAAGACAAATTATGGGAACCTGCAAAAATACAGAACAACTTGTCAATGATATCAGGACCTAGTCTACAAGATAAACCATGGGATTTGTACAAAATAGGTAACAGCAAGCCTTCAATATCCAGCATAAACCCGCATGAGAAAGTGTGGGGTGAAAATGGAACGATGTTGCCCAGCACAAATATGGAAGGCAAGCAGTGGGATCTTTACAAAGTAAATGAAAATAAGTCAGTATTACAGAGTGCAGACCTACAGGAACAACTATGGGATCCTTACTGCATGAATGAAAACATGGAAGATTTGCCTCCTGAGAATGTTAAAGAGGAAGAAGAGGAAGTGTGGTCTGACAGTGAACACAATTTTTTGGATGGGAACATTGGTGGAGTTGCTGTGGCACCAGCCCATGGTTCTATTTTAATTGAATGTGCCAGAAGAGAGCTTCATGCCACTACTCCATTAAAAAAACCAAACCGGTGTCACCCCACGCGGATATCTCTTGTGTTTTACCAGCATAAGAACTTAAATCAGCCAAACCATGGCTTAGCTCTCTGGGAAGCAAAGATGAAAATTCTTGCAGAAAGAGCAAAACAAAGGCAGGAAGAAGCAGCAAGATTAGGCTTGCCACTGGTAAACACCAAGCTTCTTGGGAAAAAACGCAAGTGGGGCAGTGCACCGACTGCAGATATTGAACATGACAAAAAAGACTATTTTCCCACACGTCAGGCTATGACCATCACAACAAACACTGTTATCACTGTGTCTTCATATGCCTATACCCAGGTAACAGGACCCTACAACCGCTGGATTTGAAATATGTACAACCTTGCGGCCATTTTACCTCACTACAGCAGCTGTTTCTGTTGCTGGTTGCGGTGCTTTCCTCTGATGAATATACTGTAGAGGGGAAATTCCACTCAAGTGCAAATCATCTCGAAAGCTGCACTCTGAGCAAAGAATTTTAATTACAATTGAAAATTTCCAGTTTTAGTAATCTAATTTATATATCTACATGTTTTTGAACTTATAATTGCCCATCATACTGAGGGGTAAAAAGAAAACTTTCTATGTCAAATTAGAAGAATAGTATTTATTGTACACCTTTTGTTGTCTTTGTTGTTCAAAAAATAATCATTTGTTAGAGAAGCAGCTACTACTTCAGGGCCAGGTTAATTCTGACAGATAATAACATCTCGACCTGTTGAATTATATGTATAGGGCATCATCTGAAGCAAAACTAAAAGAAAAAGAAATTGGTGCTTTTAAAAAGAATAAGTTTACAGCGTAGAGTTCATTTTTTAGTCACAACAGTAAAAGTCATCGACACAACCCTTAGCCCAGCAACTTAAATTTGTAAAATGTATTCCGCTGGCCTGGCTTGTTGGTGCTCTAAACCTTATTAGCCTGATGTTTCAAATGAAGCATCAAAGACATGCACTTATATTAAAAAAATTCCCATTGTGCCGTTCAGAGGTTGACTATATGGCAATTACTATCATGGTGCTCCTCCAGCTCATTGTTTTTACAATTTTCTTAACATCTCATTTCACTGAAGAAAAGAATTTACAGTACATCTGATGTACTTAAGGCAAGCTTAACTGATAATACTGAAGTCATTTTATGATTGATCATCTTGTTGTGTTTCACTAAACATCTAACTTGTAATTGCAGTAGAAGCTTGTTTGTTATCACAATTTTCAAGCAGCCATTTTTCTGTCCTAGCTGTACCAGTCCAAACAAAGGTTAATCAGGAAGCCACATTAACAAAATTGTTTTCTTTTTCTGCTACTGCAGTTAAAATAAAACTATATCAGAATGTTGCAATTTTAGACCAAATTATAGATGCAACAACAGGACTATAATGATTACCAAATTTATTTGTGTCTTCTGTCAAGCAAACTAAAATTTCCTGAGCTTCAAATGTACTAAAGATACTTATTCTGCTTCACTCAACTACTAAATATGGGTTTTACTTTGATGACAATGTACCACCAGTCTAAAAGGTATGCCTGTCATTGTTGTGTTGTTATTATAACTGCATTCAGGTGCCTCTTCAGATTGCTGGGATTCAAGTGACAGTTGATTTGATTTTTGTTGTATTCCTCATTTTTACACATTGGTATAAAAAGAACAGCAGGTTGTGTATTTCACCTGCATCCTATATCCTCCAATTTTAAACTGTAAATATATTAAAAACATTTTAAAGCACTTTCACATTGATTTAAAAATGACAACTTGAAGTAGTTTATTTAACAGATAATTATTGGGAGAACTACTGTAAATAGCTGCAGAATTTTTAGCAAAATATTTCCCCTCTTTCCTACATTTTTCCCGTAATCTTTCATAACCATGTTTAGAGATTAATAATAAATAAAGATCTGGTTAGTATATTGGTTCTTGAAACTACTCATGTTTAGACACTGATAAAACCAAAAAGTAACTTCAGAGTTAATTTTTGGGATTGCTGAAATATTTGTTTTGATTAGAAACCATGCTTTAAGTAGCTCATTTGAAGTACCAGTTATTTTGCCACATTGAAGCAAGCATAGTGATGTCAAATTTGACGCGTAAATCACAATTTATAACTGCTTAAGTTAATCAACTATGAATCCAACCTGCAGAATTTCTAAAGCAGATGTAGAAATAAGGGAATGGTTTATGAATCAGGCTTACTGTACTTAACAATTGTTTCATCTTAAAATCAGTTGGTATTTATCCAGCTTCACATTTTAAAATGCATGTTTTATTTAGTATGAGTTTCTAAAGTGGGGCATTGGATTACTCGCATGAAAATAGATCTACTAATTTTGTACAAATGCTTAATATTTTTGACCAAATTTGCTCCACTGAGCTTTTATTCAGTTTTGAGGAATTGGCTGTACAGTTTAAAAATGGCACTTTGCTTTATCTATTCCATCGACAGTATACAGATGTACATCCAATGTAATGTTTGACATACGCCAGAAAATACGGGAATTTTTTTTTCAAAAATGAATTGAGTACATCACAATGCAAGTAAATTCCATCTTAATTTCAAGTCTAAAAGGAAATGTAACTGATAAAGATGTACTATTCTTAAGGCATATTGCCCTCTATCCTCCACAGAAAGAACTGTAAATATTTGAATTTTGGGAGGTTCGATTCAAATGGATTCATGTGCCTTCTTTGATTATTTTGCGTCCAATGTTCAAAGTCAACAAACCAACCAGTGAACAAAATTTAAGCCTTATTTCCATCCCAATACAGGGTTCAAAATAATTCAAATATTGAAAAAACAAGATTCAAATGCATATTATTAGCTGGACACCACATTCCCCAGTCTGACTATCTAATCAAATATTTACATGACATACTGAAGATTCAGTTTGGATTCTACCGCCAATAAAAATATCGATGAAAAGTACATTACAGTTCACATGTCATAGATGCCATTCTTAAACTAGAAGAACAATACCTCAGATCTTAACTTTGTTAAAGAATTGAATGTGTTTTCTGAACAGGTTTCTGAATACGTTAATCTTTTGAGGATTATATTAGCATTTGCGATGTTAAAGTAATTCCTAAAGCTTTTCAGGCAATAATGGTGATATAACAACATTAATGAAAGCTTATTTTGTAACACATTCATTGTTTGCATCATTAATTATATCACTGCATTCAAGGTTGGACTGATCCCACCACATAAAATAGAATAACGAAATTACTAGCTTTTTGCCCTTGCTTCATCACTTTTGTCACAAAATGTTGCAATGTTTCACAAAACTGTGTGAAAGGTGAGTGCTTTGACCGAGCAGGACCAATATTGCCAGTTATCCTCCAGGCATTTACAACCCTGCAGGTAAAATAATCCTTTTTCATACAGTGCTCATTCTAGCAGCTCTGCTATGAACTGAGGAAGAGTTTTTTTTGAAAGAGCTGACGTTCAAAACACATGATCCTTATTTGAGGGTTCAATAAACTTTTTTCATTCTGTGTATCAGCTGAGCTATAAGAAAAACTGTTCAGCTAGGTACACAAAAATGTAGTACTAAGGTTTGATTGAAATGATATTGCACTCCTGCATGCCAGATTGCAGCACTGTTTCAATAATAATGTGGATTTTTCCCCTTATCCCTATTGTACTCAGGCCGATCTATAAAAGATTGCATTTGTAAGAATCCATTTCCCTTATTACTAAAAGTGCAGTGTAAAAGCTTTCCTGAACAACAGGTAATTCTAATTCCTGAAATTAAACCTCAGGCATTATTTCTGTACGTGCAAACACTAAAGGGTGCTAAAATAAGTAACTAAATGTGAAATACCAGCAATTTTTACTCACTGTAAGAGGCTGACATAACTTGAATTACATGCAGGGTAGCATTTCTTACTGGTGCATAACAACGTGGCTAAAGACCACTGACATGCTACTTGTGTTTTGCTGGTTAATTGTAGAGAAGTACAGTATTTGTTTCTGAATCGCAAATGATCTGGGTTGAGCAAATTTGCCACTGACAAATATATTCATGCCACTGATAAAATTTTGATGCAAATATCACATTTGGTGTTGTACAAAACAGAAGTGAAAGCTGCTCATTAAAATCCATTGTACTGTGAAAATCCAAATTTCTTACAAAAAGAAAACTAAGATCAGAATTTGGCTTTGAGCCTCATTCATTGAATATGTGAATTATTTAAGCCTCGAAACTAAATTTCTAGCAGCAGTTCTTTTGAATTCTTTCATGTGATAATTCCCTCATCAAATGTCAAATACAATTTTGAAAGCTCTAAATATAGACCAATTAAATAAACCAACCAGAATGAATTAAAATCAAAGAATCATGAGAATATATGATCCTAATATTTTAAAGGGAATTACTTTAAAGAAAAAAAACCTTTTAATGAATGATTTATGCATAAACGTTTGGCGTGCTTCAGATTAAAATGCATTATTACATCACTTGCATGCAACGTTGTCGTGCCAAGAATGATACAAAGCTATTTTTCCTCTCCAAACAACAAAACATTTGTCACAAACATATTTGCATGACAAAAGTAAAGACCAGCTCTTCCAATCAGTATCTAATGTCAGACCCAAACATATAATGATGAATTAGATTTAAACACATTAGACTGAATCACTTCTGTAGAACTTTACGTGTAAGGAAAATGATTTGGGATTCCGAAACTTTTAATTTGCAAATTATGCAAGCAAACCTTTACCTGTGATAGAATGCTGATTACCAACATTGAAAATCCACAAGCCATCAGCTCATCAAATAGAGTGGCATCGAACATTGGCAATGAGCCCTAGTATTATTTAAAGAGATATTCCTCACTCAACTCTGGAAACGTGTTGAATATTAAGCTCTGCAATGTTGTCAACAGGCATTCAAAAATAGCTTGACAGTAAAAAAGCACAAAACCAATTTGAATTATGTTTTCTGCCAAACATGAATCAGTGAAATAGAATTTGAGAGTCATTTATAATATGACCTGCTGAAAGGTGCTACAAAAATCTTCAATGAAGTGCTGCAGTGGTCAATGTCATATTCACACACATTTACAAGATTAGAAATTTAATTTGGAGTTAAAATATTTTCAGTGTCGCAACATAAATTTCTTGTCAGAAAGAAGAAAATGCTTACATTACAGCCTCAATTTAGTTTAAGGAGACATTTATCAATAGTTCGCAACTGTTGTTATCAACGTAGACACACGCCGCACTCAATTATGTGCGGTGACGGAAAATGTTCACACTTCGTTAAACAGAAGTTTTGTGTAGAAAATGTGACTTCTTCGGGGAAGTATGTGAAATGTGTGTATTTTTGGTGCAACTTTCTTATCGTAAAATGATTTAAGGCAGCTCAGCTTCATACAGCATTTCTGATTTTCTCAATGACAAAAATGTTAGCTTTGTTACCCATTCTGCAGCAACATGCTTGCATTGCCTGTGCTCAAATGTTGGCATAAATTTATGCTTTATCCATGTGGCTTTATTTTGTATATCAGTATTTGTAAATATGAAGTATGTTTTAAACTTCTTTCAAATTGCTTTTATATTTTCTTTTGTTTTATTTGAGGTGCTATTCAATTTGTCCAGTCAGGTGTTCCTCCCCTTTTTTTTAATAAATGTTTGTGTTTTGGTTGTACAGAAATATGGATTCTGTTTGGTGACTTCCTTGTCCTAAAACCCAGGAATATCTGTTTTCTACATTCCTTATATAACTTCTAACATTTGGGCAATCTTGCAATTCAGATGCAAACAAGCATGGCTTTCAGAAAAACTGCATTTTAAAAACTGATAAAAGCAGGCATGCTTTCTTCACTTATATAACTCTGCTTTTCTAGCAGGATGCATTTCCTTCACGGGCAAGAGGGTATACATTTGAATAGGCAGATAGAAAAAAGTAACATTGGTATTCCCATAGATGCTAAATTTTAAAGATTCACGGGTAAAATATTCCATTTTTGTTGCATTAGAGCCACTCTTGGCATTGACTTCAGAACATTATATTGCTTAGGTGGAAGTTTCTTGCTCAGAATCACAAAAGACCTGGCTGGGAGTAAGGACTTTTGCATCCTTTTTAGGAATTGTTGGGTGACCGAGGAGTCTTTCATACTCCCTAGTCTTGTACGTTATGTTAGGGAAAATGGTCTGGAAACACAGTAACAAATTGTACACTGTGCACTTGTTGCATTTGCAATTTGATCTGCTACAACCCATGCAGACCAAATGACAACACAGTGACATCCAGCTTTCAAATGGAGCTATCTTGAGCAGAAACATCCCAAGTTGGTAGCACAATTGAGATGTTTTACATATCAGAAAAAATGACCTATGCTTTTTGACACTGATAACTGCATTTCAGACCAGGTAGCATTCACTCGAAGCCATCTGGCTCAAATTTCATTATCCCTGTCTAGGAAGCAAGTGCATTCACAGAGCTCAACTTTTAACAGTAAAACAACAGCAAATGGCAACACTTGCAGTTTCTAAGCATTTAAGTTTACTTTGGGTCGGAAACTCAGTTAGTTCAACAGACCTTTGAGCACTTTTGGTTTTGAAGACAGTTTAACGTACCGGAATTTAATGGTGTCCAAAACAAGCTGTGCGAAACAACCTCCTGCCAGGGCTGGCTGTAGAGTTCAGAGGTGGTTTGAATCTTATTTCTGAAGTCAGTTCAGGTTATGACTCCATTGCAACTTGCTGCAAAACAAAAATGCTTAATAATGTTAACGTTGCAATATAAAGACACCTTTAAACACATCAAAACACTGCAATTGTGTTACTTTTTTGGGTGGTTTTGGAGTGGTATATGCAGTTATTTTTTTCTTACAATGCTGACTTTATAATTCATAAAGAATTTCACAAACTGCACATAACTGAGAAGGTATTGTCCTTTCTCTATTACAGAAGAACACAGAAATAATTTACACAATTTCAGTTGCTCTGATCAACTGAGTGTTAGATCAAGGAGCTAATGTATATTCTTATCTTTATTTGTGGAAATTGTAAATTCCTAGTGGCTTGCCAGTATTCCGAGATTGCCTCAGATCCTTGCAGCATGTAAATCAGCAAGCACCATTTTTGATGTAAAAAATTACCCTATTAATCATGTGACTGGTGGAAGGACATTGCAAAGGTTGCAGTTCCAGTAAGCTACTATGTTGTACACTTTGTATATTCTTGTATAGAGAAAATTACTCTGCTTTCCTTTTAGTGATTGGGCTTTCATATCTTTTATAATTTATCTATACTGGCAAGGATACCAAGTGTGGAAAATGTGAACAAAAAGCTGAAATGATTTTGGTCAATAATTGATGGTGAATAACAAGCAAATTAGTATGGGATTCCATATTTCACTTATTCAAACAAAAACAGTTGTAACAGTACTTAAAACTGAATTTCAATGAGATATAGCAGGAACTGCAGATGCTGGAGAATCTGAGATAACAAAGTGCAGAGCTGAATGAACACAGAAGGCCAAGCAGCATCAGAGGAGCAGGAAGGCTGACGTTTCGGGCCTAGACCCTTCTTCAGAAATGGTTTCTGAAGAAGGGTCTAGGCCCGAAACGTCAGCCTTCCTGCTCCTCTGATGCTGCTTGGCCTGCTGTGTTCATTCAGCTCTGCATCGTGTTATCTCAACTGTCTTCAATGAGATATGTTTTGAAAATGAATTCTTTCCTATTAACAGGATATTTGACCAAACACCGATACCTTGTATAATTTATTGTTTTAAAGAGTGTGTCTTCCATTTAACTTGAAAGGCATATGTGAATCTAAGCTCAAAATTTCCCAAAACATTTTTAAATGAACTCTAGCCAAATTGAAACAATACTTACAAATTGAAAAGTATACTTTTAATAGGCCTGAAACAAGTAAATAAGTGTTGCACTTTATCATAAAAGGTGTCACTCCCTAAGACTAAATATTTGTATTTGATTCTGATTTTGTTCCTGGAAGCTGTATATTTTTACTTTTTGGATTATAGTTGTCACTTAAAGATTTTGATTAGCTCAGGGCTAGAAGGTAATCATATTTATATGCACATGATAGAGGACACTTTGTTCCTGAGTGGAAAATATGGCTTCGACCTCTTTATTTGAATATAGAAAGTATGGACTTAGGAAACCAGCACTGCTATTGTGGATACATTTGGACATTGCAAGTATATGTAATTCTACACATGTTGTCAGTGAGTTTTTTGGAATTGGACAGGTAAAAGTGAACTTGTGACGCATTTACAGGCACTTTATAACCATTGTTTTCTTATAACCCTGTGATCAAAATAGTCTTAACAGAACAAGACTGAACGGTAACTAAGGTTTTGGACTTGAGCCTAGGTCTTGAGATACATGTATTTTACGTCTTAGTAGAAATGTTTCAAGCACCTGGAATATCCAACATAATTGAAACATTGCTCTCATGATTTCAAATTCTGCTTCATAATTACTACATATTGTTTACTGCAGCAAAGCTGTGAAACAGTATCATCTTGTAGATTTAATTTTTGCCTTATGCCAAATAAATGGAAGACAACTCTTTAAAACTAGACGATATGCTGTTTCTTTTGAGCTCACCTGCAGTTAGCTGTAAATAATTATAATTAAGAATGCTGCAGTTTAACTTTTATGGCACAACCACTGCTGTAAATCTTGCAAAGTCTAAACAAAATCATTTTGATGTGCTTGATTGAAAATCTGTCTTTAAAATGGTGCAAACATATTCAGTTCTGTAGTTCTTTTAATTTGCTTTATATTGAAAGAAATATGATATTAATGTCCCAAACTAATTTTAATAGTTGCCTAAAGAGAAAAAAAATCAGACTATTGTGTGGCCTAATTTAACTTTACTTTCCACTCTGACATCAGGGATACTTTTAACTGCGATGTATCGGTATGCCATCTCTGCTTATTTTATCGTACATCTTTCAGGGATTTTATTTTGGGCTTACAATACTTCTATCCATGTTGTAAGTGTGACAAATAAGCTTATTCTGATGCTTTGGTTAACAACAAATTTTTGTATATTATGTCAAAGCAGTAGTGTATAATGTTCTAAAGCCTATTGTGTTTTTTTATTATTTTGTAATGTATTTAAGGAATTAGGGTTGAGAAAAGATGACCGTGAAAGTATAAAATAATAGGAAAATATTGTTCAAATTTGTTTCTTTGTATTCAATCGTTGACTATAAAAATGTTATACATACTGTATGACAAGTTCCTCAGACTCAAGAGGTTGACTTGTAACCCATACTTGAAACTTTCTTTGAAAAAGTCAGTGTCCGCTACTTGAAATGAAGTTTGCAGTTTGATGGATGAAAGTAGCATGAAACAAAATCCAAATGGAATAGGCTCTTATGTACCTTACTGCAGATATTAGTACAGTAAATATTTTGCTGAAAGTTTTACTTTGGGTTGATTTATTCTTTAATTTTCTTTTAATTCTTCTTCGGTGGTCTTATTCAGTGGTCTATAATTGTATTATTAAGGCACTGATAGGACTAGGATTCCTTTTAATTTTATTGTACTGTATTGTATACAAAAAGGTTGTTTGCAAGAACTTCCTTGTAAATGTATTCTTCATGATCATTTTGAAATATTGTGGGTGTTTTAATAAATTTTATATTTATTTTTTGCACTCAAAGCTTTGACTTTTGTTACAATTTGTGAGACTCAAAATTGTATTGAGATGTTTTCGGGCAAGACCACAATTATTATTTAACATGTCATTAGTTGACACTAAATGATACATTCTTTGCCCTTGAAAATGAAAAAAAATCAGAATTATCTACATTTTGGCCATGCATGATTTTTAAAAACAGTTTGATTTAATCCCTTTTTATTAATAATTTCATGTTGACATCTTGACTGTTCTTATGTTATGCCAAGGAATTTAAGATTCCTCTCTGTTAGTTTAAAAGCTATCTGATTAGCTAAAGAAACATCAAGAAAACATAATAAGTGAGGCAGGACCAGGTTATGTGACTCCTTAACCTTGCTCTGCCGTTCAATAAGATCATGCCTGAGGTGATCTTGGTCTCAGCTCCATACTCTTGCCTGTTTCCTATAACCCTCACCTTCCCTACAGTTCAAGAAGATGTCTATCTCAGCCACTTGAATATACTAAATGATTTAGTGCCTACTGTTCTCTGGAGAGTTCCAAGGATTTACATTACTTTGAGAAGAAATTCTTTCTCCTCTCCATCTTAAATGAGTGACTGCCTCTTCTGAAAATATGCCTCCTCGTTCTAGATCCCTCATGGGACGAAACATCCACCAGCATTCATCTTGCCAAGTCCCCTCAGAAATTTCAAGAAGATCATCTCTCATTCTTCCAAACTCCAGTGAGTAAAGGCCTAATGCACTCAACCTTTGCACAAAAGACATACTCATTATCTCAGCAATCAACCTCATGAACTTACCCTCAACTGCCTCCATACATATGCCTCTCTAAATAAGGAAATCAAAGCTATAATGTTTTTCAGACATGGTTCAGCATTGTCCAGTATGATTGTTTTTTATTCACTCGTGGGATTGGAGCAATATTTCCTGGCTTTTATATCATATCACACTTGCAATTTAGGCATCCTAACTATTACCTTAATACAGTTAACTTCTGTGTTTCATGTACAAGGACACCCAGATCCCTTTGTATTGTGGAACTCTGTAATATCTAGCCATTACATATTTTAGTTTTCTCTTCTCCTACCAGAGTGTATAACCTCATACTTTCCAATATGATTATGCATTTGTCAATTTTTTGTTCAATGATTTAACTTATCTGCATCTGTTGCAATTGTTTGGGCTGAATTTAACTAGCCAAAGTAGCAGGAGTAAAGTTTCTTAGCAGCAAGCAAGAGCCAAGCTCAGGTATGGATCGGCTACCTTCGCCACAAAAGCATACAGAAAATTTCTGCTTTTAAATGCTCTGTTATGCAATTATTAAGTGGGGCCACAAGCGTTTTGCTTATGTTGGGAAATCCTGGGGATCTCAGAAAACCATTGGAGCCAACTAATCCAGACCACAGAACTGCTGCAAGCAGAAAAGCCAGCACTCTCAGTCACAGCTAACATCCTTCCCTCCGCATTCCACTTGTTCCCCAACCGAAAAAGGCATTCCTTTTCAATATGAAGTGGCAATTTCACTTAGTGGCATCACAACTCTTTTAAGGAACAGAGAACTTTTAGAGGAAGAGCATTTGTTTTATTAAAATTTTAAAATTACATTTTATTTAATTTACCCACCGAAGACTTGTGGGCTGCTACCATCCTCAGAATGTTCACTTCTCCCTGTGGTGCTGTAATGACTTGACAGAATATGACCCTGCGATTGGACCAACAACATTCAGAGCCAATTAAGAAGCCACCTCTGAGAAAATCACTGAGCAGGACTCACTGCAGTCGAGGGATTTGTTTCATCATGATATCAGGGTCATGAAGACAAAGTAAAATTCACCCTGTGTCCTTCTCACAAGTTGCTTTCTAACAACTGTATTCACTGTAAATTTGGCTACAAAACACTTGATCCCTTCATCTAAGACCTAAATATAGATTGCAGAAATCAATCCCTGCAGCAAGCCCACTAGTTACAGATTGCCAACCTCAAAATGATCCATTTATCTTGACTCTTATTTTCTATTTGTTAATCAATCATCTAACTAGACTCATCCTCATGAGCTCTTGTGCAGCTTTTGACACTTTACACAAAAGTGTCCTGGGAGTCCAAATCTACCTTTTTATAAGCTCTATTTCCCCTGATTATACCCTAAAAAGCTCTGATAGGTATTGTTCTGAGAAAGAAACAATGAAAAATAAATATGATTTTAGATGGAAATGCTCAGTGAAACGTGACAGAAATATTAATTCTTCCTACCATTAACACTGTATCACCTGGCAAGTCAAAAGGTGAGTTAGCCATTTGGGGTGGGGTTTGAGGATTTAAGGATCCTGCAGAACAGGGAATTGTCATACAGGATAACTGAATTAGGTAGAAGCTGAAACAGCGGTTTGAGATGAGGAGATTGAGTCAGTATATCATTTGTGGCATATCATTGTATGATGGACTGCCATGTGTAATACATTTGCAATCTGTAAATATTTGTAACCATAAAACATTTTCTTAATTACATCCTTCCTTCGAGATAAAGTTTGTGCCACACCTGAATCTCATAGCACTTCATTCACATTGACTTAAAGATGACATGCAAGAGTTGACTTTGTTTTGTATACTTGATGTAAGGGGGCTTCACAGGCTTAGCTAACTTTTATTATCCAACCCGAGGATAACCTTGAGAAAGTGTGGTGAGCTGCCTTCTTGAATCACTGCAGTCCACCTGGTGTAGTCACACCACAATGGTATTCAGGAGGGAATTCCAGATTTTGACCCAGCAACACGAAAGGAATGACAATGTCTTTCCAAGGCAGCATAGTAAGTGTTTAGAAAGGAATTTTCAGATGGTGATTCCATGTATCTGCTGACCTTTTCCTTCTAGATAGTAGTCATCAAAGGCTTTGAAGGTGCTATCTAAGGAGCCTTACTGAATATCTTGTAGAAGATACGTACTGCTGCGACTGAGCTTGTGGAGGAAGTGAATGTTTGTGGAAATCAAGCCAGCAGCTTTGTCCTGGTTGGTGTGAAGCTTTTTGAGTGTTGTTGGAGGTGTGGGGAGTATTCTATCTCACTCTGGACTTGCCCATCATTGAAACCGAACAGGGATCGGGGAGACAGGAGCTGAGTTATTCACTGCAATGATCCTAGCCTTTGATCGGCCCTTGTATTTATACGGCCGGTACGGCTCAGTTCATGGTCATCTAACTCCCAGGTTGTTGATAGTAGGGATTCAGCAATAATAAAGGCATTGGATGTCAATGGGTGAGAGTTAAATTCTCTCTTGTATTGTGTGGTGCAAATGTTACTTGCTGCAGACGTGGATGTAACTGCTCTGGTGGAGATTTCTAACAAGACAGGTGATGGTGACTTCTCCAGGGGAATTTTTTCGTTGATGCAGATGTGGGTATCATTAGTTTTATTGCTCATCCCTAAATTGCCCTTAAACTGAGTGATTTGTTAGGCCATTTCAGAAGAAACTAAGAGTCATTTACTTACCTGTGGATCTAGACAAGGTGTAGCCTGACTGGGTAAGGACATTTGTGAATCAAAATGGGTTTTTAGGATGATCAAATGATATTTTCATGGTCATCACTACTGATGTTAGCTTTAATTCCAGATGTTGTTAATTGATTTTAAAATCCACTAGCTGCCATTGTGGGATTTGAACCGCTGCCCCCAAAGCATGAGCGTGAGTCTTTGGATTACTCATCCAGTACTAACAGCACATCACTGTCTCTCCCTAAATTGGCTTCAGTGCCCCCAGAGGTCCTATAATGTAGTGTCATATTTTTCATGGACCTGACCTATAGAACAGATCCACATTAAGATTAATAAAGTTGTGACCACTTAACCTTTCGCCACGTACATCCTGTGTGCCCATATAGCAGCATTAGGAATGGTTGGCTCTTCTTTCCTTTGGCTAGTTGGTACAGCCTCGCTGTGAGCAATCATCTAACTCACTTTCACAACAAGTTCCACTACGTCCTCTGATGTCAGGATAAGCCTCTGGCCAGTGATGTGACCTCCCTAGTATTATAGATTTGTTTGTCATGCATAATAAATTGTTTAACAATCTCAAGGCCAAGGACCACTTCCACGTCCCAGAAACACCCACCAAGCGTGTGGTCAACGATGCTGCTCTCGGATTGGGCTCATCAGCCATGCAAGGACCACATAACACATGGCCAGTAACACAGAATTTTCCGAGCTGGACAACCATACTCATTGTTGACTGATTGCTGATGATGATAAAGTATACAGTTCGTGACATATCGAGTGACACTCTTGCCTGCGTGCATCACCATCACTCATACACACATGCATCGAAGTGCTTACAAAAGCCAAACTTCCACGTTTGGCCTCAATTGCCATGGGACAATGAAATGTAACATGAGATTTGAATGCATGGACAACCCAAAGATCATAAAGCAGGCATTCTTTTATTCTATTTGAATCAGGTCATGACAAACATGAAGGGAAATTAACATTAAACATACAAGACACACAGCCTTTGGTTTCCTTCGGTTGAAGAAATCCTTTGACTGTCTGATCCTTCCCCCACCTTGAGGCCTCCTTCCCCAAAACATACTCTTTCCTTCAGATGGATTGCTCCAGCTGTCCTGCCTGGCATCCTCTAAACGATCATCACCTCAGCTGGAGCTCCCAGCACAACTACTCCAACTGCCCTGCTTGGTACCTTCCTTTACCATTATCATCTAGTGCTAGAGGTTCCATTATACACTTCCCTGCTTTGGACATGCTGTCCTGGAATCACACCCAGGTCCACCTCTCTTCCATTCTCAACACCTCCTCACACTGCCATGGCACCATCCCATGAAATCGCAGAAGGTGCAAGACTTGCCCATTTAGCTCCTTCCTCCTCATTATCCAGGTGAAGTAGCAATTTATTCTGCACTGAATTCAATTTAGTCTACTGTACCTGCTGCTCACAATGTGGCCTCTACGAAATACTGACTGGGTAACCACTTTGTGGAATACTTCCACTCCATCTGCAAAAGTGACCCTGA